AAGAAATTTTTGAAGGAACTCGTTTTAACAAGCTCCCTCGAAAAGTCCCATCATCGAGGCTTAGACCCGCGCACACAATATGCCTACATGCCATGGTATTTAAATGATGCAATGGTTGTGTTTGATATACTTATAAATTTCAATATATCTTTGTTAATCTTCTGATAGCTCTTTTATTATTTCTGTGCAATCTTTCCTTTTTTATCATTTTATTTTTTGTATGTGTAAATATCCTAAATAAGTATTTTATTATTATTTTTTACCTAATTATTTTTTAATTCAAGTATTTGTTTATTTTACAATAAATGTTTACTTTTTACCTATATCTATATTTTTTATAGACAAATACTCTATTTTATTATTGTCATTATCATTTATCTATATATTTTTTACCTAATCAACCTTTTTGTAACTAAATTTCTTTTCTATTTTTCTTACTTATCTGGCCTATTTTTTATGACTAAATATATTTTAATTTTTACTTACCTAATCTACTTTTTTTATCACTAAATGTATATTTTATTTATTCTACATTTTCTTTCATCTCTCTAGATCTACTTCTTTATATCTAGGTAGTTTCCATTTTTCCTATTTAAATCTGTTTTTTTTAACTGAATATTTATTTTATTTCTACATTTTGCCTCTCTAAATCTATTATTATAATTATTTTTTTATATTTAGACATTTATATATATATTTTACCTACTTAAACCTATTCTTTTTATAACTAAATATTTATTTGCCTCTTTTCTATTTATGGCTTTTTCTATTTTTTCCTTTTTATTAATCTTCCTGAAACATTATAATTTTTTCTGTATTCTATTTTGTTTTGCACCATCCTATATCAATTAATCTCATAGTTCACTTAACACATTTTCTAATAAACTAAATTGGGCCAACCAAACAGATCTTCACAACAAAAGAAAAAGGCTTCACCTTGCTTGGGTTAGAGTGATAGTCCAAGATGACTGGTTGGCTTAGGAGCGCCCCAAGCCTACCTCCTCAACCCACTAAATTTGCTTCAAAACACACCGTTGAGGGACTTAGGATCCTCCCCAAACGGCATCGTTTCAAACCTCAACCTTCTGTCACGGGGCGATTCTTAAGACCACCGTCCGTGCGGCCTTGGGTTCAACCCTTATCTCGGCACTTAGAACCCAAGTCAGCCTTAGTGCTTCAGCACTCACCCAACAAGCACTCAACACCCACACAATGGCTTTAAGCCGGCAAGCAAGCTTGCATAAATAAGGAAGGAAAAACGGGAAGAGAATGCTAGAGAGAAAAACTAAGCTTGTATTGAATGAATTGAAATGAGTTGTGTTGGATGATTTACACAAGGAGGATGGGGTTATTTATAGCCAAGGTTCCCCACACATTTCCCTCCAAAATTTTCCCTCCAAGGCATTTCCCTCCAAAAGATTTCCCTCCAAAACATTTGGGAGGGAAAACTAAAGTTTCTAAAAGCTCATTTGGGAGGGAAATCCGGCAGCTCCTCATATGGGTCTGGTGGGCCGCACCCACCTGGGCCCCTCTGGTGTGGCTAGGCCGCGCACAGGCTGTGTGCCTGGGCGCTGGCGGGCTGATGCGCAGAGGCCCTGCGTGGGCAGTCTGTCTGGGCGCTGTGTAGGCCTACGTGCTGCGCCCCTGCCGAGCCATCTTGCGGGTCGCTCACCTGCGTGGCGCGCACCCTTGTCGGGTCGGCGGTCTCGGGCCTGCGTGCCGCTCGCCCATGGTGTGCGGACCTACGTGCCGCGCACCCTTACTGGCCGGAGGCCCTGGGCCTGCGTACCGTGCACCCATATTCTGCGTCTCTGCGTGCCACGCACCCCTGCTAAGCCGGCGGCCCCGGGCTTGCGTGCCGCGTAGCCATGGCGTGCGGGTCGGCATGCCGCTTGCCCCTGTTTTGCGGACTGGCACACCTGCGCGTAGTGTTTGCCTGACTCTGTCGGGCTGTCTCGCCCAAGGTCCTGTTCTGTGCGCCCCGGCTGGCACCCTGTCGGGCTGGCTCGCCCAAGGGCCTGTGCCGTGCGCCCCTCCTAGCATCCTGTCGGGCTAGCTCGCTCAGGAGCCGGTGCTGTGCACCCTTGCTAGCATCCTGTCGGGCTGGCTCGCCCATGGGCCTGTGACGTGCGCCCCTAATGGCATCCCATCGGGACGGCTCGCCCAAGGGCCTATGATGTGCGCCCTTGTTGGCACCCTGCCGGGCTGGCTCGCCTAGGGGCCTATGCGGTGCACCCCTGCTGGCACCTTGTCGGGCGAGCTCGCCCAGGGTCCTGTGTTGTGCACCCTAGCTGGCACGTTGCACTTGCCTTCCACTATCCAGTGAGAGTTTACCCCCAGCAATACTTCCCCCACATATCGGCACTTTAGGACACCCTCGGGCCACCTTTAAGGCGTGGAACTGTGGTCCGTGACACTTCAACCTTGTAGTATTTGTTTTTTCCTTGGGAATAATATAATTATTTTTCTCAAAGTCTTTTTTTTTAAGTTTAGTTATTTTCACTTCTACATTATTGTGCAAATATTTAGGAGTAAACTTGCTTAGTTTTTCATACACAAGTTTAAGCACCGCACGAACAGGGGCAAACCCAAAATCTTTTTGAAATGATATCATAATTAAAATAATAATAATTAAAAAATATAAATATGTTAAAATTCATAAATTAGAAGTTTTAACATTAAATTAAAAAAATGTAAATTTAATACAAGTAAAAATATTTAAAATAACTATAATTATTCACGATAATTTTTTAAATTTTAAAAACGATATATGATAATATCACTAGAAACATTAGCAAATACATCTTTCTCAATATATGTCACTAAGCAATCATTCTTCTACTCGTCACTCATTCGATATACTACTTGAATTTTTTGATAGAGACAGTAAAAATGCAACCAAGGACTAAAAAAAGGAAGCATTACTGTGGGTCTAAAGAGTAGGATGGGGAGAGAGCGTAATTTAGATTTTATCTTTTTAAATAAAATCTTAAATTATAGAAAAAAATTATTTTATGTTTCCATGAAATATTTAAATATTAATATATAAATTTCTTTTTAATAAATTTACTTTGATTTGGAATCTTTGACCTCATTAATTGCAAAATTATAAAAAAATTAATGAATTCATTAGTATTATTAATTATATAAAATTTAATAAAACTCTATACGGTTGTATAAAAAGTAAAAATTTTTATTAAATGAGTAGAGTCATATGACATCACTCTCCTTAAGGTGGGTTTACCCACGCACACAAATTTTGGCCAAAGTTCCAATGTGACTAGAATTTAACCTAATTTAATGCTCCCTTGCTAATATAAAGCGTATTCAACATTGGATGGCTAGCCAATTAAAGTCTTCCTGGCCATAGCTTCGTTCTTGAATGAGATGGATATGGTGTTGTCACAGGTGCTTCTATTTCATCATCAATATATTGATTCGCTGCTTTCATTTATTTTACTTCAATTTATTAAATGGTCAAAAATCAATTCCCAAATTAAACAACTGAGTATACCCTTTTCTAGAGAATGATTGCGTAAAATACCCTCCAAAGCTCAAAACTTCAGCCGTTATTTTGGGATGACTTACCCAGTGAAGGTCTATGTATAGCAGATCTTTCCGGAAATGAATTATAAAATGGAGAGGGAAAATATAATAATTAGGTGAATTCAACAGCTTAACTCATACAATGTAATATTGATTTAGCTGTTTAAACAAAGTGGATTATTACTCTTTTAATTTTTTAATTTCCTTCTCAAGCCATTGCATCTTGAACTGATCTTTTCTACTTCAACCTTGAAACTCACGATCATGTTTGGACAAAGTCTAGTAATCCGCGTCAATTATACCTTCACTAGCTAAAAAGGTTTACGTAGTCTTCTAACCCCAAAGAGAAACAGAAAGAGTCGTTAGGAAGAATCCCACACATTGTGAGATTTACACCAAAGATCTAAAAATTCCAAATCCCAAGTCCTAGGGCCTAACAAATTACATCTTATAAATATGCTTAATTTGTGAAACTAATTTAATTCGTCTTCCAATTGATAATTTGTAAAACATCATTTATTTGGATCATTTTGTGAAAAATATTTTCCACCATCATATTAAAATGATAAATAGGAATTGATCACAAAACAATGGTAAAAGTTGGTTTTCACATTAAAATTAAGAATGCAAATAAAAATAAGAAAAATCAATATTAATATTTTGTAAAGCATTTAACAACATATTGTAATGAAAGTAAAATCTAGTTTTCAAAAAATTTTCCGTCTCATCATTTTTTTTACCATAACACTATAAAAATATCAATATTCATTAATTATGTATAGCATCTAAAATCTATATTTATAAATATATATTCATCAAATGATGGTCATTAAAATATTTTTTGTTATAATTGTTAGTAAGATTTATTTAATTTATACATAAAAATATTAATTGTATTGAATGATTTATTAAAAAATATTATTTTAATTTTCATTATTTTGAATAATTTAAATATTAATATTTTAATTTAAAAATATTTCTTAATATTTTAAATTAAATATTAATATTAATCAAACCTATACAGCATTCTTTCTATTCTCCAAAAAATGTCTTATGCCTCTCAATGATGTAAATGATTATTTTTCTTATTGATCTATAAAATATTTTACATATCTAATAAATTTTTCATCTTCTAAATAAGTATAAATCTTTAAAATATTTTTCAAAAAATATTTTATACACCACTTTAAGTTTCAAGGACAATACAAACTAGTATTCAAATGGCAAGGTTCAGACCTCCCCCGCTACGACATGCATTGACTTAACCGCCCCCAAACCCGCCAAAGTCTTGTCAACTTTGAAGCGTTCAACACTTCTTTTCCTCCCCAAACTCTTCGGTCATGATTAAATAGGTCTTAGCCTCATTTCTGATATACTTTAAATGGTTATAATTGCTATGTTTATTAACGTTTTCTCGATGCAAATCAAGTTGTTGAGGAGAAAAACTAAGGAACATGGCCACCGGAGAGGGAGCCGCGACGACTCGCACTCTTCAACAGACGCCTACTTGGGCTGTGGCCACCGTTTGCCTCGTCTTCATCGCCCTTTCCATTTTGATCGAACACTTGATCCATCTCATTTCGAAAGTAGGTATATTTTCTGAAAGAACTATGCTAGAAATATTTGGTCAAATAGAAAATTTTAAACATGTTTCCATTTTTGTACAAAGCAGTGGCTCAAGGGACATAAGAAAACTGCACTTTTTGAGGCTGTGGAGAAGCTTAAATCAGGTAGATTAGTGTTCAGAGCACAGTCTTTTGATATATTGGGTTGTGCCTCCCCAAGGACGTACTAGAGTGAACTTTGAAATTGCCTGTTTCGATCATCTTTTTCTGTTGTTGGTTTGGTGCAGTGCTCATGGTGCTGGGTTTCATGTCTCTGATATTAACAGTAACTCAGAGCGCTCTCTCCAAAATTTGTATACCCAATAAACTGGCAAATACTATGCTTCCATGCCATAAAAGTCAACCCACAAAAACTACCGAAGCAATAGGATATGACCAAATATGGAGCCACCAATTACATGAAAGAACATTGGCTGCTGACACTTCTGAATCTTCTAGTTATTGTGGTTCCAAGGTTTGTACTTTGTAAACTGTTTTTTTTTTTTTTTTTGTCATTGATGAGAAGAGAACTTTTCTCGACCTAAAGGAGTGGAATGAAATAGCTTTACTCTACGCTGTGTGAAATAAGAAAACAGAGTTACAATAATATAATTAATTGGCTTCAATTTGCAGGGAATGACATCGCTGATATCTACGGATGGGGCGAACCAGTTGAGCATCTTTCTTTTTGTGTTAGCAGCTATGCAAATTGTGTATAGTGTGGTCACAATGGCTTTAGGAAGGGCCAAGGTACAGCATATAATATAGCACTAATTAATTAATACATATTTATTTTTCTTTTTAATGAAAAATTAAGTTCCCCTCTTTGACTGTTTATGTTCTCATCAATCCCTAATATATCTTACTTGTTAGATGAGGCGTTGGAAAGCCTGGGAGAAGGAGTCTCAAACGGTGGAATACCAAGCTGCCAACGGTAAATTTACTGCTATCTCTTTTTTCTAGTAAATGCGAATATGTATATATATGTAACCTTTTAGGAAGAAAGGGAATAGGGATACGTAATTACTAGTTAGATCATGCTTGAATTGTTTATCATTTCTATTAAATGACTTGTTGCCAGCATGATAATTAGAATATTGTGAACAATATAGGGTGAAAGTAAGCTTTTAATTTTAATATCTCTAAATTATAATATTATAAACCTCCATATTAATATTTAATTATTTTTTCCTAAATTATACTAATAACTATATTTTTTCAATGTTCATAATATAATTAGTTGTAATCTTTTTGTTTTTTTGTTCAATCTTTCAAGAAAAGTACCTATACCAATTGTTTGTTTCAGTAAGTCTAGATTTAGTTCTTGCACTTTAATTTATTAAATTTTCAAATTGCTCTATCTACTTTCATCAGTGAAAATAACTCAAATATTTTACACCAAATAGAAAATATAAACATTAATTATTATTGTATTATCATTAAACAATAAATGCTTTGACCTGACTATCCCTCATCCATACGGCACGCCAAATCATTAATTCTCTCCCTTTCTTTCTTTTTCTTTGCTGGCAACCTTTGCCCAAGTCCGACTTACCATATGCACTCTTTTCCCATAACTTTGAAAGAATACTAGAACAACATTCAAATTTCAGAAGCAACAGAGCCTAAAATGAACAACAACAACAGAGCCATTTTTGGAGAGGAAATTGATTCACTATACTCCAATAAATTGTCACGCTTTTTACTACGGGAAAGAGAACTTATATACTCATCTTCAAAACCACCTCCAAGGATTTCATATGGTAAAATAAAAACAATAGACTATGACAACAAAGCACAAAAAATGAGTTATTGTTTTCTGTGCACTAACGATTACAAGAGAAAAAAAAATGGAAAAAGGTCGTTGACTTATGCAAACAAAGGATTCAAAACGACACTCAGGTTGAGTGTTGTAGAAAGAATATAACACTTGAGCAAACTACACTACAAGTTGTTGTATGCTCTCATAATAAAAACTAAAACGACATATAAACTCTCGTTTCGCAAACTTATGACAATAGGGATATATTCAGCATCATTTTGCACATCTTCATCAACTTTCAACCTTTCTGTTTCTTCTCGCTATGCATCAGTAGTTGAATTTCCATATTTAAGGTCACTGTTTCAACCCTCTCCCATGACTTATAATCTAGCTAACTCCAAGACAAGTTTTGAGAGTTTCAAACCTTTCTTTGGGTAGACCTTTTGTTAATATGTCAGCTAGTTGAACCTCATTGTTACTGTGCTTAAGTTCAACCCCTTTTTCATTCACAACCTCCTTAAGAGCCTAGTATTTCACCTTAATGTGCTTAGTTCACCCATGATGAACTAGATTTTTTGTTATAGCAATAATTGATTGGTTGTCAACAATGATCACAGTACCTTTTCTTATTTAAAACCAATAACAACTAGTACCTTTCTTAGCCATTGCAATTGATTTGTCGTTGCTGTTGTTGCAATATACTTAGCTTCAGCAGTAGATTGAACAACAACACTTTGCTTGTTCGAATTCCATGAGAAAACAACACTATTGAATGAAAAGCAAAACCAATTGTACGTTTAGAATCATCAATTGACCCAACCCAGTCACTGTCACTGTATCCAAGTAGTCCTCCACTATAATGCTTTATATACCTCATACCAAAATCAATAGTACCTTTAACATACTTGAGGATTCTTTTCACTATTGTAAAGTGCAGCATAGTGAGAGTTTGCATAAATATGGACAGTAAACATGTAACACACATCAAATCAAGTCTTATCGTTGTTAGGTAAAGTAGTGAACCTGTTGTGCTTCTGTAGGTAAGACCATCTGTTGTAATAAAACCATCTTCTCTATTGAACTAGTCTCCTGATGCTAGTAGAGTACTTACTTCCTTGCTAGAGAACATATTAAATTTCTTTAATATATCCTTTGCATACTTAGTTTGATGCAGGCACATTAATTCATTGGTTTGAAGAACTTCCATGCCTAGAAAATAAGTCATCAACCCTAGGTCAATCATCTCAAACACATTTATCATCTGACTTTGAGTTCTTGTAGTCCATCATCATCAAGTCCAGTAATTAAAAGATCATCAACATACATAGTAACAATTAATGCAGAGTATTACTTGACAATTTCACATATAAAGTTGATTCATTCACACTTTTTAGAAAGCCCTAACCTATGAAATAAGCATCTATCTTGTCATACCATGCCCTAAGCGCTTGCTTATAACAATACAATGCCTTAACTAATTTATAGACCTTGTTCTCTAACCTTGGTTTTCATAACCTTTAGATTGTTCAACAAATATGTTTTATGTTAGATAACCATATAGGAAAACTAACTGTACATCTAAATGGTATATGTACCGTCCATCTCTTGCAGAAAAAGCTATTAACATTCTAATAGTATTGTGTCTTGCAACAAAAGCAAAGGTCCCCAGGTAACCTACTCCATAAACTTGGCCATACCTTTTAACCAACAACCTAGCTTTATACATATTTATAAAACCATCAAGGTTTAGCTTGGTTCTAACATCCATTTGATTCCTATTGCATTATGATCTAAAGGTCTGTCTATAAGCAACCAAGTATCATTTTTCTTCATCGTGGAAATTTCTACATCCATGGCCCTTTTCTAGCTCTCATCAGCCACTGCTTCTGCATAATTGGTAGGATTAGTAATAGCTAAATTGCATCTATTATATATGTCTTCCAAGGTTCTAGTTCTTCTCACAACTTTAGTCTCATCTTCAATGTCAGAAGAGTCATCACTTTTAGATTGCAGTTGATTATCATTAATGACAGGGGCAATAGTAAGACTCTCAATAGACTTCTTTTCCCAATTCCAGCATTAATTCTCATCAAAATTCACATCTCTACTAATAATTACTTTGTTTGATTCTAAGTCCTATAATCTATAACCTCTTGACTATTCACTGTATCTAATATGTAAAGCAATGACAACCTTTGAATCAAACTTAGATCTTTTTACTTCTAGTATTTGAGCATAACACACATGACTAAAGACTTTGAAATGAGAGATACAAGGTTTGTGATTATACCAGATTTCAAATGGTGTTTTGAGTGTCAGTGCCTTTGTAAGCATTTTGTTTTGGATGTAGTTTGCAATATTAACTACTTCAACCTAGAATCTCTCAAGTAGATTACTTTGATATAGCAAGCATCTAGCCATATCACCAATTGTTCTATTCTTTCTTTTAGCCTACTATTCTACTGAAGGTTGTAAGTGACAATTAGTTGATGATGGATCTCAAATATTGATAGAAAGCTCTCAAATTCATTAACAGTGTATTTTGACACATTGTCGATCCTCAAGGTCTTGATGCTTGAGCTGTGAAGTTCTCATCTTGTGCCTTATACTCAGAAAACCTTTTCAATGCCTCTGACTTGTTCCTCAGAAAATAAATCCAACAATAATGTGAGAAATCATCCATGAATAGGATGTAGTAACTACTGCCATTCAATGAAGGAGTCCTCGTAAGATCATTTATGTCTGTATGAATTAACTCCAACTTTTATGTAGCCTTCCATTTACTTTCTGTAAGAAAGGGTTTCTTGGTTTGTTTACCAAATTGGCAAACCTTGCACAGTTTCTCGAGTTTTACAATACCAGGAAGACCTATCACCAACTTCTTTGAAGACATTGTTTACAATGAAGTGTAATTCACATGTCTGACTCTCTTATGCCAGAGTTCTGAGGCATCATATTCACTATAAAGAGCTTGATGCTTTGTTTCCAATAGATTCATTGGATAACACTTGTTCCTCAGATTAATTGTCAATAGCTCAACACTAGTAGGGTCGAATATAATGCACCATCTATTCTTAAACAACAGAGCATAACCATTATCATCCAGTTACCTTACATTAAACAGATTCTAATATGTTTCAGGCATAAAATGTACATCATGAATAAATTTAATACCAGTTGCAATTTCAACTCCTACAGTACCTATTCCAATTATTTTCATATAAAGACCATTTCCAATTTTCACATGAGCCCTAAAACTTCTATCAAGCTCAATGAAAAGATTTTCATTACTTGTCAAGTTGTTTAAGCAGCCACTATCAATAAGCCAAGTGCTCTTATCTGCTGAACCATCATTCAATTTAGCCATAAATAGTGCCTCATCTAATTCACCAACCTTTTCAGCCACTACAACTTCCCCTCAGCTTCCTACTTCTTAGCTTTACACACCTTCTCCACATGTCCAAGTTGGTTCCTAGCTCGACACTTCACATTCGGCATTAACCAACAACACTTTAAAGTATAATTAGTCTTTTTGCAATGAGTACATAGAGGAAATTTGTCTTGATTCTTTCATTGATTCCCAGCACTTGATTTGATACCCTTGTTATTGTTCTTCTTAGAACCATCAACTTTAACCCTTAAGCTCTTAGTTTTAGCAACCAATGCATTTTCAACAGGGTCCTCATGTTTAAGAGCTTTGCTCTGCTCAAAAGCTAGCAAGGTAGAAATCAACTCTTTCATAAAGATTTTTGTCAAATCTTTAAAATCCTCCAAAAAAGAAACTTTTGATTTAAACTTATCAAAAATACTCACTAAAATTTTATTGACAATTCTCTAATTAGAAACCTCTTGTCCTAACATTCTGGGTTGATTAACAAGCTTCAACAACTTGTATTCACACACCTAAATGGTCTTCTTTCTTTCATCTTCATAAGCTCAAATTGTCTTGAGAAATTCATTACCTGCATGACTTTGGTTCGATCACTTCCTTGGAACTCTTCTTTCAAAGAATCCTAGACGAGCTTAGGATCCTCCAAATTCATGATTTTCCCAAATATAGTGTTTGACAAAGCTGATTGAAGGCAAATCAAAGCTTTGTAATGTTTTACAACCTCTGCTAAATGTTGTTTGATCTAAGCCATAGTTGGGCTGGCATGCCTTTACACAGGTGGCTCACTTATCTCCATAACTTATCTCAAATCAAACAACTTGAGGTATGAACGCATTTTCACTACCTAGAAAAGGTAGTTAACATCAATAAAGACAAGGGGTGTTATTGCACTAAAACTAGCTGTAGCCATACCATTTTGATCACACCACAAAAGTTTTACAGGCTCCTTAAGACAAATTACCCTAATACCATGAAAGAATACTAGAAGATCACTCAAATTTTAGAAGCAACAGAGCCTCAAATGAAGAACAACAACAAAGCCATTTTTGGAGAGGAAATTGATTCACTGTATTCTAGAAAATTATCACACTTTTTACAACGAGAAAGACGACTTATATACTCATATTCAAAACAACCTCCAAGGATTTAGCCTTGGGAAATAAAAACAACAGAATATAACAGCAAAGCACAAAAAAGAGTCATTGTTTTTTGTGCAATAATGACTACAAAAGAATAAAAAGAAAGAAGAACGTTGGCCTATACAAACAAAGGACTCGAACGACACTCGAGTGTTTTAGAAAGAAAATAACACTTGAGCAAACGACACTACAAGTTGTCGTATGCTTTCATAACAAACACTAAAACGATATATAGTCTTGTTTCACAAACTTATGACAATAGAGATATATCCGACATCGTTTTGCACATCTTCTTCAACCTTCAACCTTTCTGTTTCTTCCCGCCACTCATCAGTAGTTGAATTTCTAGATTTAAGGTCACTATTTCAATAAATTCTTTTCCTTCATTTCCTCCTTACTTTCTTTCATTTCTTCGAGTACTCCTCCAACAATTCAAACAAAGAAAACTTGACGAAACCCAAAATTTAAACTCATAATAAATATTTTCTTTTTTTTATTAGAGTAAGATTATATACTAATCATTAAATTAAACGTTTAAATACATATTATTCGTATTTTTAGCTGTGGACAAATGTATTAATCAAAAATCTACTAGTTGTACCAAATTTAAAAATGCATGTATGAATTGTTGAATATATGCTATGAAAATAACACTCGATTATTAAAATTTAATATTTCAATCACGAGACTTATGATATAAAAATAATTACCTTTAATCATGTAACTCTCTCTTTCTTTCTTTTTATATATATATATATATATATATCCAAATAAAAAAATTCAATGCTTTAAATCTTGCATTGCATAAAGTTTGAAGTATAACAATAATGAAATTAATTAGCATATTTAAGCTATGATATCTAAGTCTTAATAAAATTCTATTTTTCTTCTGTTTTGTAAACTTAACTATTCAATCAGATCCTAATCGCTTTAGATTCGCAAGGCAAACGACTTTTGCGCGTAGGCATATGAATTCATGTGCAGAGACATCAATCCTTCTGTGGATTGTAAGTTTACTTTTCGCATTTCTGTTATTTTCTTATTCACAATGAGTAGAATATGTTTCCCTGATAAATTAATTTGATTGGTGCAGAAATGCTTCTTTCAACAGTTCTTCAACTCTGTAGCAAAAGTTGACTACCTTACCCTGCGCCATGGTTTCATCTCTGTTAGTCCATGATTACTTAATTCTAATTAATTAATTTCCCATAGTTTTGGTTGGTTTCTTTTTTTAAAAAAAAATGAATATATTCCTTTTCTATACAAATGGGTAAACCCAATCACAATTTCAGAATATGAAGCATTCATTACTGTTATGTTTTTGTAACCTTTCGCTTGCAATTTGGTAGGCTCATTTATCAACTAATACTACCTTCAATTTCCAAAAATACATACAAAGATCATTGGAGGATGATTTCAAAGTTGTTGTTGGCATCAGGTACTGAATCTGTGCTTGCTTTGTATCCATTAGTCGTTGAGCTTTATAGATTTAGAAGCTGCACAAGTGTTCTTTAAAGTTCTGATATCCTAAACTTTTTTTTTCCTTTATTTCCATCTCTTCTCTGCTTTTCATGGAGCAGCCCTTTAATGTGGTTTTTTGTTGTTATCTTCCTGCTGATGGACGTACATGGTGAGTAGGAATTCCTTAATTATAAAAGCTGTAAATCTCCAACATTTGTTCCAAGTTTTATAGTAAAATTTTGAACTTCAACAGGCTGGAATGTGTTCCTATGGGTATCATTTCTCCCATTGACAGTAAGTATTAAAAAATTAAGTGCTTTAATGTTATGGGTCCTTAATCTAATTATCCTCAATCAGGCAGTTTATTCCTGAATCGCCTAACATTGCCATATATGAGTCTCTAGATAGTGCTGGTTCTAGGAACCAAGCTCCAGGTAGTTGTAGCAAAAATGGCACATCAAGTCAAAGATCAGAACAGTGTAATTCAAGGTGCCCCTTTGGTGCAACCCAACGACAACTTCTTCTGGCTCAGTCAACCCAAACTTGTCTTGACCCTTTTGCACTACACTTTATTCATGGTACTAATTATTCTCCCTTTTTGAATCCAAAACAAGTTCTTTCAAATTTTCTTGATAATTATTATACTGCTATTATTGAAATTAATAACACTGGAATATTTCATTGTTCCCAGAATGCATTTGAGGCTGCATTTTTCGTCTGGGTCACGGTATGTATAGAAATATGGGAAGTTCTAGACAATTTTTTTCCTTCAATTTTTCACTTTGAACCTCACTTTCTTCTTAATTGTCAGTCACAATATGGAATAAAGTCCTGCTACCATGAATACCCAGGAATAATCGTTACCAGAATGGTGTTAGCGTAAGCTCCAGTTCTTTTTCATTTCTAAGTTCCTACCTCTCCAAAAGTTTAAACAAAATTTCTTGTTATTTACGAAGGAATTAATCAAATAGATACCTCGATTCATTCATTCCAGACTGAACAAGTAGAGTTTCATTACAGAATCTAAACATTTGGGACAAATCTTTTTTCCAGGGTGACAGTTCAGGTCCTGTGCAGTTACATTACTCTTCCACTCTATGCTCTTGTGACCCAGGTAAATGCATCTGGTTGATATTCGCCCCCTATAACCAGCAAAGTTAACTTGGAATTAATTTGTCTCTTCATATATATAGATGGGATCAAATTTCAAGAGCGCACTGTTTGAAGAGCATACAGCTAATGCTATAAGACAGTGGCACGCCGTAGTGAAGCAGAAACGGAAAAAACAAGGCGGAGCTTCACGCGTTGGCAATGATTATTCCAACAGCAACAGAAACATTTCCTCGGATTTATCAACTAATCATCCAACACCAAATCCGTCAGAAATCGCAAGCTTTCCTAGCAGAACTGAGATTGTTGAAGAAGATACAGAGATACAAGAAGAAGCAGCTGGCCCTGATGTGAATAAAGTTCCCACTGCGGTGGATATAGAAATGCCTTCGACGGGGAAGTCCCTAGCTAACAAGTGAATACATAAGATTACATTCTCTGATCAATTCCAGTGCCATTTCTGTTCCTCTGTAAATGTGATTCGGTTTGGTTGCTAAAGTGTCTTAATGGGTAAAGTTTGTGATGTCTTCAAAATTCCAATTGACATGATCACGAGTTCAAAGGTATGACAATCTTGTCATTCATTTTTTTTTTTAGAACACCAGATGGACTGCCATGTGATCATAATAAAAGACCCAATGTCAGCAAAAAAAATAAAGACAATAAGGATGCTATCAGAAAAAAAAAACATAATAGTATTAAGTTTCGCATATGGCTAAGGTTTTAATTATGATTGAGAGATTTTTGACACATGTAAATATTGAAAATATGTATGTTAGAATCGTAATTCAAGTCCTTGTGACAAGTTCGTAATGATAAAAAACTTAAAGAAAAAGAAATTTGTTCCCTTAATCCTTTGTATTATTGTATTGTATGAAATTCTAATTAGATACTTATTAGCATCTCTTTATCACAAATGTCTTGAATTTCACTCTTTAAACAAAGATACATACATTTATTATTAAGTTATATATTCGAAACACAAATTATAGCTCTGTGATTTTGCTACTAACAAGCTATATATTTGTTATTATATATAGTTAGTTCACAACAAGCTTGTTGCTTTGGAAAGAACAATGAGAGCAATCAAATGAATAGAGTAACTATGTCGTCATACGAACAGTAATGAAAATAATTCGGAACAAGTAGCGATGTTCACGAGTTAGTTTCACTCTTGACATATTTTGACGAGTTTGATTTAGTGATTTAAATATAAAAGTAAATAAAAAATCTATCTTTTAATATTTCTTTGAAGTACAAGTGTTTTTTTTTTCACTTTCTTAAAAACACAGAGCCACACTTTTTGAGAATTATGAAATCCACTATGCCATTAGTGACTTGAATATCTAGAAAACTTACTATCCTACTATACACTTATAAATACTTAATTTTGGTTAATATATATTCTCTAAGAATTATTTTATAGTATAATATTATAGAAAGAATAATGAAAACAAACATTACAAGTGAAACATTATTTTATACAGAACAATTAAAACAAATGAAGTGCTACTTTACGTAAAATAACTAGAATAAGTAGAGCATTACTCCATATAAAACAAATAATATAAGTAGAACACTTACTTCACATAGAATAACCACTTCACATGGATGATAATGAAAGCAACTCAAAATAAGTGACAGGATTCATAAGTTACTTTCATCTTAATATATTCCAAAGAATTTAGTTTGGTGACTCAGATATGAAAATAGTTAAAAGGTCTCCCTTTTAACTTTTTTTTGAAATACAAGTATTTCACCCTCTTACCTTGTTCTTGTATACCTGTTCACATACATCTTCTTCTCTTGTACCTAGCCATGTACAATTTCTTCTATTATACCTTTCACGTATACATCTTCTCTATTACTTTCTACTTGAAAACAAATATTATTACATCTAATTACTTCAATAATCATGCAATGGATTTCTAAACATTACTGGACATTAACTTTCAGTAATAGTTTTCCAACATTAAAGCTCTTCTTAATAAAATTATTTATTATATACATTAAAACTTTTTCTTCTAACCGCTTTTTTTGGCACTATATATAAAGCCTTCACATTTCATTAAAGAGCTCTTCCACTCAGAGTCAACACATTCTCCTTCAGAGCTTCTCTCTCTATATTATCTCTTTGATTCTCTTCTTATTCTTTTTCACCTGTTACGACACTCAATACTTCAGAAACTACTTCAATCTTCCTCTCTGTCACCTCTAACACATCTTTTACTTGTTTACAATGCTTCCTTTTCCTATCATAAAAACTCCCTTTTACAACACTAACAGGTAATATGTTTATCTTATTATGCGCATATTAATCTTGAGTAATGGCACTTGATTTATATATTAGAGTTCTAACAATTCATTAAGAACTCACTTTTGAAAATCAGAAGACTTCCTCTTCAAGCTATTTCCAACTATTTTCTCTCAAATGCTCACCTACTTAATATTTGCTATCTTGTTACCCATTTTGTTCCGTTGATACATTTTTGTAAACTTTCTCCACAGTTTATTCATCACCATTTACCGCGACACTCAACAATTCAAGAACTATTCCAATTTTCCTTTACATTAACTCCAAACACATCACGTTGTACTTGTTTCCCTCTCTATCAGATAAGAACCTCTCTACACATAAATGATTGAATCTCCGCTATTTGTATTTAAAGATCAACATGCCTAATGCCACCCAGTCACCTACCTGCCCAACTACGTATGCGTTTAAAGCAACCATTCTTCCATGAAAAATCGCATTCAAAAACTTGGCGCCATTCGCAAGCGGATCGATTGTAGGGCAACTGACGATTAGCGATTTCGGATGATATGGATTTTACCTTGTAGAATGATCAAATCTCAGTGTTAACTGTAAACATGCTATGCTAGATACTAGAGAGTGACCTTACGGATCAGAGACAGTTAGAGAAAAGGATAGGCCCATTTGGTGACATTTGGAAGATAAAAGTCCCACAAACATTGTAACGGGTCAAGCCCAATTTGAGCACATTAAAATGACAGTGACGTTAGCAATGGCAAGGCGCTTCCGACAAAACATAATGAAAGTTGGGAGTCCCACATCTTTAGATAAAATCGACAACGTGTCGGCCCATTTGGCTCGCAATAGTTTACAACTCAACTAATTCTGCGCAGGCTTACACTCTACACTTTATACCAATCAGAAAGGAGGACGAACTTGACAAACATAGGTGCCCACTTGGCCCAATGACTACTTTAACCCGTTAATAATGTACAAAGGTAGTAATAAAATCACACGATTAAATTTTTAGTAAATATTTTATGTAGCTTATATCTCATTATAAAATGTATATAATGAGGAAAAGTCATATTTTTTATGTAATTTAAATCTAATCAGTTTCTACATGTACTCAAGATAAAGAAAGATGAGATAGATAAATTTTTAAGTTCATATATGAATACCTAAACATTCAAAATAATCTTAACTTAATTCATTAAGTTCTAATTACTGAATATTTTAATAGTTTTTCATCGAAAAATTACTAAATGATCTTGAAAATAATTAACCAAACATGTTGTTACATAATTTTTTTTTAATGAGCATAATAGATACTAAACATTGTTATTGTGGTGGAATGGATTGCACCCTTATATGGTATTTGAAATTTAATGTTGATGGGACAAACAAGAGGGAATTGAGGGAGACAGGCGTAGGAAGAGTGTTGAGGAATGACTTAGCTGAAACTAAGGCCATGTTCTCAAAGCCTATTGGTGTGCATGATGCTAATTTTGCAGAACTTATGGCTGTACTTGAAGTTTTTAATATTTTTGTTTCATCTAAATGGAATGATTCCTGCTCTTTGTGGAGAGTGATTCATTAAATACAGTCGAATGGATGGGTGAACCATGTAGTGCATCATGGCAATATAGAAAGCAGATACTTAGAATTGAGTCCTTAAAAAAGAAAGACAAAAATTTGAAAGATCATACATACTCTACTGAGCTCAAACAGCTGACAAAAGATGGGGTTTTGAAGGAACATACCGTAAATTCTGCAGATATTGTTCATATTTCTGCTGTGTGGTGAAGCTGTTCTATTGCTGCGTTTTTTTGCTTGTGCTGTGACGACAGTATGATCTAATAGCTGCTATTGAGACTTTGTAATAGTGGTCTCGGATGTTTAGTTTGACTAGCTTCCAACTTGCTAATGATACAGGGGAGCTTGAACTTCTTGGTTTAATTTCTATTATGTGTAGTTGTGTTCCTGGTTTTCTTTTGTAGTTGTATGAGGCTAAGGTTGTTCTTTTGCTATGTATTAGCATAATAACTTTAAGCCAAACTCTGTAATAGGGGACTTCCCCGCGAGCTATTAAGGCTACTTGTAAAAGAATAATAATAGATATCAAAACCAAATAGCAAATTATTGATAATAGTACATAATTAGAGAAAATAACACAAACTTAAAATTAAATTTTCACATGGTAGAATTTAAATTTAAAACATTAATTATTACAAATTAAAATTTTTTAAAAATTGAAAATATCTCGTGGGTTTTGAAATATATTAACAAAGAAACATGAGCTTTGCTAAAACTGTGGTTCCCTAGCATCAACAGTGGTTACATGAATTATTGAGATTGCAATTCTTGTAGAGTTGAGAGGGGTTTTTCTCTAATATAATAATTAAATCAGTGTCTAGAGTTTGATATCATAATCTGTGACTTGTTAGGATCAAGAGCGGAACTCATTGGTGGTATTGTAGGTCTTGGAGGGAGCAAAGCAAAGAAACAAAATTTCTCGTGCATAAGTATTGATGGAAATGGATGTTAAACAATACAAGGCCCTATTTCTTTTCCAACATCATCCCAAACAAGTTTGAAACACCGGTGACTCGACTGTCCCCCTTCGGACGAGCCACAAATTGACCTTCCCACCGCCCCCTTGCCCTCTCTCTTGCCCCAAAATATACCAAAAATGTTAAAAAGTCAGATGGTTGAAGATAAATTAGATAAAACAATTAATATGGTAGAAAGTTGATTGACAATCAGCTCATACACACTAATTAACTTCAACCAAATTGATTTGAAATTTAGGTTATCATCTTAATGACCGTCATACGTGCATGCACCTCATTCATTATATTTTGCACGACTCCCCCACTCATATAAAAGGAGGATGCGTGTCATTCACAATAACCATTGGAAATACCATTTCCTCATGTTATATAATTTATGTAGAGAACTATTGAAATTCAAATGCTTTAGTAGAGAATTTGAGTTTAAGTTCTTGGATGAAAAATGTTAAATTTAATAAAAATGTTATATAACTTAAATTCCAATGAATCTCGTATATGTAGGAAAAAAAATTATTTAGCATTCAAACATCTACAATTATTTGGATAATTGCTATTTAGGAAAACATGTTCTACTAGTTGGAAATTGTTCTTTTTCGGCTATAGATTATGAGATTGCTATTTTAGTTATGTACTTCATTGTCTCACTCCATGATCCATTTATTTTTAACTTGTAAATATTTCAATTTTG